CAACCTATCTCTGCCTATAAAGAACGCAACCTATGACTTACTGCGCCGGATTTTTGCTGTAGCAAGTTTTGACCACTGAAGGTAAAAAAACTGACATAGGTAGGGACTCAAGCTACAGGACTCACAACTCGACTTGGACTCGAGTCACGCATTTGATGACTTGTCACTTAACAGCAATAATGACGGAAAGGCTCAAACTTGACTTGGACTTAGGGGCAGATGACTCGAGACTGGACTCAAGTCCTGCAATATTTTGACTCAAGACTTGACCTGGACTCGCCAAGGAATGACATGTACCCTTCCCTGGTAAAATGGCAAAATGGTGAGAGGATCTGCTGAAGGAACAGGCCAGGAGTGGACCTTCATACAGGGGTCACTTTCCATTTCCCAAGGTCATTACAACAGCCAATGTGGGAGAGGTCGCCCCCTAGTGCTGCTCATCAGTATGGAGAATCCAGCTCCGGCTCCTTATGTGACTGTGTCTGTTCATGGCCTTTTTCCACCCGCGGTTGTGTTCAGTAGATTTATTAGTGATGCAGTTTCTCGCTACTTTCAAGAACATCCTAAGTTCGTAGGCATCTGTGTCGTATCGAAGAAATAAAACATTAATCTGAAATGGCTCACAGAAAGACAGAGCACTTGAGCAGCATATTGGCATTTATGCATTTTAATGTGATATGTAAAACGATGATGGCTGGGAGTCATTTCATCTCGGGGTGATGGATGTTTTTGCCAGTAAGCTTTGCTTTGTCTCCAAGTTCCTCTTCAATCCAGTAATTAGGGAACATTAGAGGTTATTAGGTTATTTACATCTGTGACAGGACTGTGTGTAAAATATCCTGCTGGAGATGTTTTCCAAACATGGAAGAGTGTTAATTTGCATGTGTGAAGGGGGTGTGGCTTGTGATGTGGCTTATTAATGTTACCCATGATGCATCACTGCTGAGGCACATGGTGGGTGGGGCTATCAAACGTTTAGTGGCAACTGTGTTGTTGTAAGAGTTGATTTTTGTCTACTCTACTACAGGCTTCCTCAGTCATGGTCCCAGTGGGCTGATGTAATTCTGCACAATTAACTGCGTATAACTGAGCTGATTTCTAATCCTTGAAATAACACACTATTAAACTATTCTGTGAAGAAGAACAGGCCTGTTCCATATCTGTCCCGTAGGTGATGTACTATCCATCCATCTTCCGTTGGCCTACCCTGTCACGGTCCTGTGACAGGGTAAGCCAGAAAATTCACGGGACACGACTGGGGGGCAAACTGGACAGGATCGCACACTCACACCCTCAAGTAGGCTACAAACTATACGGACATTTCAGAGACTACATAATTAATCAAACGTACATTCACCGATAAAGCAGGCATAAGTAACCTCGAACTGATTCATAATAAAAATAACAGCATAACGGCAGTTCTTTATTTGTTCATTTAGAGTTCATCCTACGGACTGTTGGACTTCACTAGCAATCTCGCGAGATTTCCCAGATAAACGCATCCCCCTCCCCACACACGCATACACACACTTTCATCTGGTCCAGCCTCCGTTCTTTCCTCTCTGTGGCCCCGCTCCCACACGCCCTCCCGGCCGTGGCTGTCAGCGGGTATCCGCGCCGAGCTGCGGCTCCTCCCCCCGGTCCTGTTCCCTGCGGAGGTAGCCGCGTCCTGCGCATCGCACCGGCCTGCGCTGCACGCACGGGGGTGTCATATCATATCTGTCCGGTGGCTTTTGCATGATCCGATCAGTAATGGCGTCGGACAGCAGTGATACGGAGGAGTACTACGATGCTGCGGAGGACGTCAGTGCTGGTACCTCTCCTAACATGTAAGTATTTTTCCCGAGGAGTCGCTGCATTATATGCAGTATATGTGTAATAATATTGCGGAGAGATAAATTCCCACCACCCCAGCGGTGTACACTTAAGTCTAAATCGCAAATGCAGGATAACAATGAATGAAAGAATTATTATTATTATTATTATTATTATTATTATTAATAATAATAATGATACTAATAATAATGCAAGTAAAGAAGTCGATTTCACTAATTGCGACATGCGCAGAGAGAGTTATTGTTTAATTTCTACAGATTTGGGAGATTAATTACTGAAGCACAGATCTAGAAGAGAGACGGCCTTTGATTTTATAACATTTCTATGGATAATTATGATTTATCGTTTAAAATTAATCTTGTGCTGCAGCAGTGCGTGAACGTCTATACGGGCCTTCTGTTGTCATTTAAACGCCAAGATGATTTAGATGATTTATATGACGTAGGATGTAAATGAGCTGGTTTTAATGTGGTGCTTAGTTGAGCAAATATTTTATTGGGTTCTTATCTGCTAAAATGTTCCGCGTTTCTACCATAACTATATGTCCAGTTAAATAAGCAGCAAATGACTTACACTGCAAATGTTTGTTGCTGGCTTTGTGTACTTTTCTCTTTTCAGATCTCATAATATTTTAATCTCTTTTGCATCCCAGGTCTCCTGCGAAGTTTGTGCTTCCTTCAGCAAAGGTAGGAGCAGGTCTCCATGTAGCTTGATGCAAGAACTTTCATGATTTCATACTATGTTTAACCAGAAACACTGGACTTTACCTTAATCCCTGGAACAAACTGTGCTTGACCACTAAATTTGGGATACCTGTGGGTGACAGTTCATTAAATAAATCATTTATTATCCCTTTAGTCTTTAGAATTTTTTTTATCTCCTAGCTTGCTTGATTATGATTATAAACCTGTACCTTTCTTGAGGGTCACACATAGCTACGGGAGAAGTTTCTGATCCTCCATCTGCAGGTAGGGGGCGCTGGTTAGCTGGGCTGTTATGAAACTGGAAAAACGAGCAGGAAATCACATGATGGGTTTGATGGCATCTGTCGCGAATGGGAGCCATCGCCATGGTGACCAGCATCCATTTTCTGAGTGGTTGGAAGCTGCTTGTGTTGTTATAGTGTTAAGGTCTGGTTTGAGGGGCGGGGGTTCACTGTAAATATTTGGTGTTTGGGTGGGTCAGTGTGAAGGTCTGGTGTGGGGTGTCTGTGAGGGGGGGGGGTCATGGTGAATGTCAGTAGGGATAACCCCTTAACTTGGTATCTTTCACCCTGCAGGATAGCAGGACAGGCACCCCGCAAGACCCATGCGAGCCCCCCCATGATGACTCCATCCAGGTGAGTCTGCCTCCACATGTCCCGCCCCTTTTTCCTGTCTCAACCAATCACAGCTAATACTGCTCAGCTCATTGTGGTATTTATCCATGTTGCTTGATGCTGGTTTGTTAACGTTATGGAGATGCGTTCTGGGAAGTGCTGGGCAGAACCAATCGTGGGTGGGATTATTTTATGTTTGTAGTCACTACCTTGTCTTCTTTTTGGTCTCCACTTTGGTGAAACAGTCAGTAGTTAAACGAGGGCAGTAATCCCACCCACTGTGCGTTTTGAAACCAAATTCAAACTCCAAAAGAAAAGATTTAAGTATATTTGGATGCTTTTTGGAGCTGAATGTTAAAATCAGGCACCAGGGGTTTCTCTGTGGGTCATGGTGCTGTCTCCATGGCCAGATCATTGACAGTATCATCGAGGAGAGTCAGAAAGAGAGCAACGCCGATGAGCTGCTCCTTGCCGCTGAGGGAGGCGGGACCAGCACCGCAGCACCCTATGATGAAGGATGGAGTTTAGGGGAGCCAATCACAGTGGGCCTAGGTGAGGGGGGAGGGGCTGTGAAAGCTCCACCCCCGGACATTACCAGCACACTTGTCCAGGAGCAGATGGACTCTGAGGACCAGCGTGAGGACACAGGGGGGGCGGGAGCCGAGGCAGCCGACCGGGGGCTTGCCGGACCCCTCCCCGTGGAGCCTGACATCGTCGCCAGCACTAAAAGACTGCCACCACCGAAGGTCGCACCCCAGAGCGGATCCCGCCCCCCCAAGCCGCCCCCACCCTCCCTGCCGGCGACTCTGCTACTCAAGCCCACCCCGGACTCTGTACGGTCCCCGGGACTGGAAGGTGCAGAGATCAGAACCTTCATGAGGCTCCTCTCCTGCTATTTGTGAATGTGACGGAATTGTATTTTTTTATTAGTTTATTACTGATTATCACAATCCTGCAGCCCGTGACATGTGAGCAGTGTTAGCCCGTGTCCCCACAGAGCCGTGCGGCCTGCTCTCCCCCGGCGACCCTGGGGACTGTGTCACCAGAGAGCTGCAGTGTCACCTGGACCTAGTCAGCGCCACCAGCGGGGACACGGTGGTCACGGCCCTGGTTTGTGACCACCCAGAATCAAACGGCCCCTCACCTGGCCGTGTGAGTCACTGACGCGGATCAGCTAATGGTCCAACAGAATGGGTCCTCCGGAGATCTAGCTGTTTGTAAAATACGTCGCCTTAGGAATCATGTGTCTGGTTCATCTTTGTCAGAATGAGGAGCCGACCCCGGTCACCCCCGACAGCGAGACCCCAGGACCCCGGCGCCCCCGGACCCACTCTGGCCGTGAGCTGACCGACGAGGTAGGGAAGCCCCTCCTGAATCACCAAGTCTCTCTCCTCCTTACAATGATCCATTATTTTCCGGGAGGGTGGGAGTCCTGCCCAGTGTTGTGCTTTTAAACATTGCTGGTGAAAAATAAATCCTTCCAGGAATGTGGCTGTGATTCAACGCAGGTGCTGCCCACTGCATGCCAACATAAAATCACACATTTACGGATTACGTTCTGTTCTGGGGGCGGAATGTGGCTCAGCGGATTAGATATGCGTGTCGAAAGGTTGCTGGCTCGAATCCCAGGGCTGGTGGCCCTCTGCCACCCATCGGGCAAGACCCCCCAACCCCTAATGGCCCCAGGGGTGTCAGACACTAGCTGATCCTGTGTGGTGAGCCCCACCCCCCCGCCTCCAAGCTTGCCGTGTCTCCCAGGGAGCAAGAAGAAACAGGCAAAAAGATCATTTCCCCATTGTGGAAGAAAAAATTATTACTATTATGTATCTTATGTAATTTTGGATTGGTTTTGTCTGTATAAGAAAAAAGCAGCTTAAAGAGTATTCAACTGATTGGTTGAAACACAATCCCAGTCTGGACTTGTACACTCTGCACCTGAATTATCCAACTCTGAATGCTGCTGAAATCAGCCTTATTGCAGCAGTTGGCCTTTAACAGAAAGAGGGTGTGGCCTTTAACAGAAAGAGGGTGTGGCCTTTAACAGAAAGAGGGCGTGGCTGTTAATAGAATGAGGGTGGGGCCTTTAACGGAAAGAGGGCGAGGGCTTTAAAAGAAAGAGCGTGACTGTTAACAGAAAGAGGGTGTGGTCTTTAGTAGAAGGAAGGTGTGGCCTGGCCAGTAGTTTTTCTGCTTTACATCTGTGTTTCCGTGGAACAGGAGATCCTGGCCAGCGTGATGATTAAGAACCTGGACACTGGGGAGGAGATCCCGCTCAGCCTGGCAGAGGAGAAGCTGATCTCCGGCATCAACCCTCTCTCTCTGCATATTATGAGGCGCACTAAGGAATACGTGACGTAAGGAACACGGCGCCCCCTGTCTGTTTTGAGGTGTAATGCAGGCCCCACACTCACATAGTACCCAGAGCCTGTCAGATATGTCACGACATGGTAACTGGTATTTTGGGGAGTCCTGCTTAGTCTGGAGAAATGTCCGAATCTCAGGTGGTCTGAGCGTCTGTTCCCTTCGCAGGAATGATGCCGTGCATTCGGACGATGAGGACAAACCCACAATGCATTTGGGAGAAGCGGACAAGGGGAAACTGAGGCAGAGGACGTGAGCAGTGGGGGGGGCTGGGGGGGTTGGACAGGTGGCAGGGCGGGGCACCACGCGGTGGTACAGCATGGTCACGTTTCTTCTATTGCCCCCGTTCGTCCCCCCAGCACAAAATTCAAGAAGTTTTTAGGCAAATCTGTGAAGAGGGCCAAACACCTGGCAGAGGGGTATGGAGAGAAGGCCGTGAAGAAGGTGAAGAGCGTTCGGGACGAAGGTACGGGCCGGGAACCTAGGGCTGGGTATCCCTCAAAAATTTCCGATACCAATACAGATACCTTGACTGTGATAGCGGTTCCGGAACGATACTTTTTTCGATACCGATTTCATACAATTCATAACACATTATAGTGCAAATCGTTAGTTTTAGTTTCCAGCTCCTTAGCATTTTTATACACTCTGAGCAGTCTCAAAACATAAAAGATATTTAGCTTAAGTTCATGGCTGTACAAGATGTGACTGCATATGGCAGGTCCCCTGGAATAGCGATGGTGCCCAGCAGGTAAAACACAAAGAAACTGCACATGGAGGACTTGAGCAGAAAATCAATTCCAACGAATTAATGCATTAATATTGTTATGAATTGCAGGTCCTTCACCCTCCCTAGATACAAGTCACAAATGCAAAGAGTGGGTTATACGCAATATTACATAAATTATGGCAAAGCAGTAGGATAAATACGGTAAAAATGTATATACGTTAAAAACAAAAATCTTTGTTTGCATGTCGGTTTGCGAAAACACACTGATTATTAAACTTTATTGAAATGTAGGCTAGTATAATCTGGGTTAAACTTGATGGGTTATTTGAAAAATAATAAGGTTCATCTTATTCAGATACTGTTCCTTTAAGAAGCAGAACCACTGCATACAGTCCAGAATGCGGTTTGGTTTCACCTGAAAGGCTGAGTAGCCTATGAGCCCATTAAGGGTTATCTGGTCATAAACAACCTACAAAATGTTTACAAGTGATTGAAATTCACATGCATTAGGCTACAAGTTAATCACGGTTTGATCCGGTTAGTAATATCACTAAAGCAAATCTGCCATTCATGAGAAAACACAAAGTATTCTGAGCAGATTTGACGGAAGATTTGTGGGCAAAATGCACGTTTAATAGCGTTATAGTGTATTCTCAGCTGCACGTTTAATAGCGTTATAGTGTATTCTCAGCTGCACGTTTAATAGCGTTATAGTGTATTCTCAGCTGCACGTTTAATAGCGTTATAGTGTATTCT